GCACCTTGGCCCTGGTCGTAATTCGAATTTTTATAGGGTTGTGGAGCTGGACGCTATTGAAAGAGCACCCAGCCTCTCCCCTCTTTGCTGAGAGTAAAAGAGCTAACCCTGCAAGGAGGGAAGGTCTGTCTGTTCTCTTTTCCAGCCCGTTCCAGCATAGCCCCTGACAGTGAAGAAGTGCTTCTTTATGTCTTGGGTTAGCTTTGCGTGTAACTCAGGAACATTCCTTTCTGCAAAATATATATGTTTTTCATTATAAAGTAATATGACCACATTACAGAAAACAGATACAAGGGGGGAAAAAAAAGTCAGTCATCCATAATCCCACGACCCGAACATAAGCACTGTCAGCATTTGCTATATTTCCGTTGTCTGTTTTTCTTCCAATGCATCTGCTTTTTCCATACTTGTGATCATGGCATCCATACAATTTTGTGTCCTGCTCTTTCACTTAATATTTCCCTTAAAGTTATACCATAAGCACTTTTTCATATTTGCCACGTAGTCTTATTTTTAATGGCTATACATTATAACCAAAGACTAGACCATTTCCTCTCATTCAGCCCAGTTATGTCTGGGATTGTCGGCTTGGGGTTTATTTGTCAGTTGAAAGCTCACTATTATCTTTTTGCTTTTTTTTTTTTTTTCTCCCTCCAGGGACCAAGTTTTTAGGATTAACGTCAGAAATGGAGACGAGATCAGCAAACTAAATCAGCTAGTGAATTCAGACAACTTTAAGGTACCTGGTTCTTCCTAGTCCTCCTGGGTATCTTCTAACTTTGGTGGGGAGAAGACTTGCACTGGCATTATTTCTGAAGAGCTTCTGTGTATAATCCTGTGCTGGTCACCATGCCTTTCCATGATTGAGAGGGTTGACGGGGGAGAAGTCCTGTAGATAATAGCAGTGCTGTCCTGAGAGACGGGAGGCCTCAGCAGTGGGCTTCATCTTCCCATCTGCTATTGACTTTTTAAAATTTTTATTGGGGAATAGCCATGGTCATTGGTTATACATTGCTTTCATGCTACAATGGCATAGTTGACTCTTTTAGGGAGGGCGCAGCTCACAGTGGCCCATGCAGGGATAGAAGAGGCAACCTTTGTTATCAGCACCACGCTCTAACCAACTGAGCTAACCGGTCACCCTGCTTTTTATTTCTTGGGCTTTGCCGGGTATTACCTGCTGGGTAGGCGTGACCAGGTACAACTGTGAAATGGGCTAAGTTCGCCCTTGGGCAAAACCCAGCTCCCCAGGGATCATCCTGGCTTTTGGCCATTGTTCTGAAAGAAGGAGCTCATTGTACCTTTTACCTGAACTGTCCTTCAACCTGGTTTTATTTCTATTCACTTCAGCTCAACGTCTGGAAATCTTCCTCTACTTTTGCTCTTCCTGTGGATGTCCTGGTTCCGTCCGTCAGTCTGCAGCCAGTCAAATTCTTCCTGGAGTCCCAGGGCTTAGAGTACTCAGTGGCAATTGAAAATCTACAGGTGGGTAGGCCCACGCCCCTCACTGGTCTCGTGTAGGGCAACACAGAAAGAGTGGACCCAAGACATGGCTAAGTTCTGGCCTTATCCTTGTCCATTTTACAGATGAAGGCATTGAGGTCTATGGAAGTAAAGTTCAATGACTTGTTAAAGATTGTTCTAGTAGAAAGGGCATACACAGGGTAAGGAACCAGCCAGATCTGGGTCCAAATCCCGATTTTGCTAACTACCTTTGTGACTTTGGACAAGCTTTTAACCTCTCGAGCCTCTGTTTCTTCATCTGTGAAATGGTAATAGTGATACCTTCTTCATACAATTTATTGAGAAGAGTCAGTGATTAAGTGTATGTAAAATGTCAGAGATGCCCCAAGTATTAAGTTTCTCTCCTTTTCCTTACTTGAAGTCAGGCGGAAAGAACAGAGAGGGGGGAGGGTGTTGGAGACTGGTCATAAAAGCATCCTTTGAGAAAAAGGAGGAATGTCACCAATGCCCCCAGCAGAGGGAACATCACCACCCAAGCCAGGCACCAGCCTCACGACCTGTATCTGAACAGCAGGACAGTGTCTTGCTCATGTTCTCTCCTTCACCGAGGTAGGTTATGGACTAATTGGTAATTTGGCCCTGGAGTTTCCTGATGGCATGAGCAGCTGTGAGCTTATTAATCATCCTCACATGTCATAGACATCTGCCAGGAACCTTCAAAGTATGAGTGGTTATAAGAATTTCTTTGTTTCTGAATGGCTTCCCAAGCTGTGTATTTCAGAGGCACTGGATACCAGATGCGGGCTGATGTCTAGAGAGTTCATAGTATAGAATAACCAAAGAGCACATATGTTGCTACCAGGGAGTAAGTGGGTTTTGAATGGAGTGGTGTACGTTGGGCTCCAAGGAGTAAGATTTTTATAGATGTGTGGAAGCAATCTGACCCCTTTTACACCTTGTCATTTGTGCTGTTTGATGTGTGTGCTGATGGCACCGCCATCTTGGCTGGCCCGTGTACCACGATTTGGCAGAAACAACATGAACCTTCACCTCCAATGGACCACTTCACCATGTTGCTGTGTCTGTTTTAGGCCCTCTTAAATAAAGAAGATGAAGAAATGCAACACAACGAAGGGAAAGAACGGAGCAGTAATAATTTCAACTATGGGGCCTATCATTCCTTGGAAGCTGTAAGTGTTTCAGAGCAGGTTAAGATCAAGGTCATTGGCCTCTTGGATTTTGTAACCCCTTTCCTTACTTCCAGGAGGTATTAGTCCTTAGCACAATATCCCTTCACTGAAGGGCTAAAATGTGTACGCTTTGATTCCTTTCTCATTCTTGGGTTGTTTAACTCCCACCAGCACCTAAGAGCACAGTGAAACACAAACTAAACATTTTCTCCCACATACATCCTTCATTTCTTCAGCAACCCCTTAAAGGAAGCCATGAAATAATAACTGCAATCATTTCAATCCATTCAACCTTCTTATACCCACCCCACTGTAAGCCTTGTATGTTATTCACCCAGGTCAAAATGTTACTTATTCCAGGCAAGTAGACAAGTGGTTATTTCAAGGTTAACTATGTATTTCCATTCATTTATCATGGCTACTTATAATGTATATTTGTTCCATAATGCATTTTTAGTGCTGTATTTCGTTAGAAACCACTTTATACAGATGACTGACTTTCAAGGTAAACCAACCCTTCAAATGAAAAACTTGGAGCAAAATAATTTAATATGATATTGGAACTTGAGGAATCAAGAGGGAACTAATAGAATGGAATGGCATCACATACAGTACAGTTCTCTTATGTCCCTCAAAGTCTTCTTCATGAGTCTGGAAACTACTAGGTTAGGAACACACCCCAAATCTAAATTGGCATTCTCCTTCCTATACCTCGATACAGGTTGTTATTTATATCCAAAGATGGTGTTCCTGGCATGCTTTTTCATGAAGCATATCCTTTGAGTTGTTTTTCTTCTATATGAGAGATTTTTTTTTTCAAAGGCTGACCAACTATTTCCACTTCTTTCCCATGATTGTCAGTAGCTTCGTTTATTGTGTACACTTCCAACGGCACTGCCCCTTGATCCCTCTTGTAACCACTGACATACATCTGCAGAACAGCTGGATAAAGCTAGGAGTTCAGACCAGGGCCATGGACGAAAGCAGAGTTCAGGGTCCAAATAGGGATCAAACCCATGACATTCGCTTCATTAACATCGGCCACTCCTTAGCTGAGCTAACCAGTTGCAAATGTCACCTGAGACCTCCAAAACTCCATCTGCTCACCTGCCTGCTGTGGGAGCCTCACTCCTTTATTTACTGGCTTTTGTTCTTTGGCTTTAGGTGCCACTGTCACCTTGTTTACCGCTATCTCTTGTTCCTTGGGAGGGCTTTTGCTGTGGATTGGGGTACCATCTCCCTCCTGGCTAGATCATATTCTGTTCTTTCTCAAAACAACTTTTTAGAACTCATATCCCAGAACCCCGCTTAGGCCTCCTTAGATGTCTAGTGGGAATTTCATGTTTGTCTCTGCCAAGCTTTCTAGTTTCAGACCCTTTGTGTATGTTGTTGTGGTTGCCATTATTTTTGTTAGTTTCTCAGCTGAGTTTTCCCTTGATGTTGGCCGCGTAAATTTGAACCCTTTGTCTGGACTCAGCTTGGTGTTTTAGCTTTTCCAGCTTGATGTTTCAACTTTTTCCTCTCATGGCTCAGGGCCAGCATCCAGCTTTTGCTCCACTTTCTAGGGTTAGTGGGTAGAGTTTCCAGGCCCTTCTTTCTCATGGCTCAATTGTTAGTTCCCAGCTCTTAAATTCCAGCTCCTTGCCCCATGCTGGGTCCTATGCCCTCTGCTCCTATTTCTGGTTTGCTGTGAACCCCCAGCTCCTCAGGCAGATACCTGGGCCTCATCCCCTGCCCTCCCCCCTGCTAGCTAGTTCCCTCTTCATTACTGACACTGCAATTTCCCCTTTCGTGGCTTTTAACTTGGCTGTGAATCATTTCCATTGTATTTTATCTGGCTTTCCTCTATATTTGGGGGCGGTTTCTTGCTTCAATCCACCATATTGACTGCAACTCTGATAAACTCTGTAAGTCTGAGTTTATTCTATAGATTGATAGCACATTTTCCTCCTCTGTAAAACTCCTTCCAATTTTAAGGTCTAAATTTAAATTTGTTTATTTTCCTCTTTTGACCCTTAAAAGGTTTGAGCAGCTAAGATGAACAAAAGATGAAAAAATTAAATTTTTTTTTAACTGAAAGTAAATGGAAGCATTTGAAGCCACAGATGGCAGCTCTTCACTTGTTCCTCTAAAGCCTTTAGAGGAATCATCTCCAAAGTGGGGTACCCGTACTGCAGTGTATAAGCAAGATGGTCACCTGGGATGGAGGAAGAAACTATTACAACTTCTATTTATGTTTCTCCATATTTTTATTTCTATTTTTAAATAATGTACATATATATATATATATGTATATATACATGGCAAGTTAATTTTTTTTTGACTGATGGAGAAAGTGATCAAAAAGTTTGGAGGGCACTGCTTTCAAGAACCTTGGATAAATGAGCTTGTTGCTAATTTCCCAGTCTAGTATGGTGCAAAGGGCCACAGTGTTGGAGCAATATCTGCACAAGTCTCTCTCATTTACTGGACTACAATTTTGTGGATAGATACAATGTGTTATTTTCTAGAAAAGGACTCTTTAGACAGCTCTTCAAGAATAAGCATTCCATGCCGACCATATTGTCAATGCCAAGGCTAGGGAGCTGGAAGAAATCATTAAGATCAGCAACATAAAAGTTCCGATACCTACCCAGAGCTGAACAAATTTTTAAAATGCCCCTGAATTCACTTTTTTCATGCTTCAGATCTACCGTGAAATGGACAGCATTGCTGGCGATTTTCCTGACTTGGCGAGCAGGGTGAAGATTGGACATTCGTTTGAAAATCGGACGATGTATGCACTGAAGGTGAGACTCCATGCTCTTCAAAGGGCCGGACTGACCATGGGCTTTTGGCTCCTTGTGTCCAAGACCTAGCTATCAGCCCTCCATCAGGGGCAGCTGTTTAGGACCTCTTTGACTTCAGGGAGGAGATTGAGGTGGGGAGACATCTACCATGCTTCCAATTTGGTCTGACAGAGAGTCCCCTATTTGCCCATCCCATTCCAAGTTTTGACTGAAAGGCAGGATTAAGGGGGTATGTATAGGGGGTGGGTAGTATTCCAGAAAGCTCTCAGGCCACAGCCTTTTGCCTTCATTCTTACCTTCTGTAAATGTCAAGACAAACTGGGATATTTCTACAACTTCTATCCTGCTTTTAGGGGTACTTATTGGAAAAGCAATCTAGGAAGCTAATTTTAGGGCTGATGTAATTTTAAGCCCAGCCTATAATCCTTGGCTGCTCAAAGCCTAATTTCCAGATATTTCTAACAGATTCAGGTCTATATTGGGAAAGGAGGTAGAAAATTTATGGCAATGACATAAATTACATAAATAATTCTAACCGAATGAATAAAAGGGAATTTGGAGATACGAACCATGGAATAACTGATGATGCTAAGAATTTGTCAAACCCTTAGCTTCGTAGAAACCCTGAAGAACCCAGGCTTATAGCAATGGTGAAATTATCAGTGGGAAGAGACCTGCCACTGAGCTGCTTGCTGTAAAACAACATTCATAAATTTAGATTCTTTGCCAAACTGATGGACACCCTGGCTTCATTGGCACCAAGCTCTGACCCAGGGTCTCCCCCCCCCCACGAAAAGGCAGGATCCAGACCTCATTTAATGCCATTTACAAAGAGCTGTCGTGAATCTTCTCTTCCCTCTTTTGAAAACGGAATTCATTTAGTGCATCAGCCTGCACAGGCTGGTCCATGCACAGTGGTCTCTCTCTGTTGGGATACCATTTGAGGTTTTTCAAGAGACATAATATTATCTCTCATCACACGAGCATTATCATTCACAATAGCAATTGTTTCCCCTTCCCATTTGCTTCCAACCCCGGAGCTGCTCAGGCTGCCCGGCAGCCAACCAATTAAGCTCCCTGGTCACGGATAAACCTGATAAATAGATGGTACCCTCAGGAACATTTCGTTTCTGAATTGTCTTAAATGGATTAAATGAATAGGGGCAAGCTGGGGAGAGGAGCAGTGAGCACTGTCGGGGGGCAGAAGGGTCATTTTCTGGTTTCTTTTTCCGTCCACAGTTCAGCACTGGAAAAGGCAGGCAGCGGCCGGCCATTTGGCTGAACGCAGGCATTCATTCCCGGGAGTGGATCTCACAGGCCACGGCGATCTGGACCGCAAGGAAGGTCATGTCACCTGGTATTAGGCGAGAATTCTGGTGGGCCTGGGGTGCCCCTGCGGCCTCCCGTGAGGCTGGGCCCAAGGGATGAGGTAGGAAAGTGCTCTGCACAGATGCAGTAGGCTAGGGGCCTTTTGCGTTTCGGAGAAGCAAAAAAGGTCAGAGCCCTTTGGTCAAGCCACTGCGGCCAAATGACAGTCCATTTGTGGCAGTGAGCAAGCTAATGAGCTACAGAGGTGACCCTGAAACGTGGACCCACAGTCAGCCCAGCAGAAAGGGAGCAGAGCCTGGTCAGCCGCAAAACTCAGATGAGCTTTGCCTTTAGCCACTTCCAAGCCCCCCCCCAGGCCCTCAGGGACCTCATGCTGTCTCCACGTCTCTCTGGAAAGACTGCTTTAAGCCGGCGCTGAGAGAGGAGGGGTGGTGTGTGTGGAGGACCCATCGTCCCCACCACTAGCACGGGGGCTCAGATTCCTATGACCTGTCATGATGTGTGGCGCTCCCCTCCCCTGTTCCCACTCTTGGAAGAAATGAATAAACCAGGCACCTCAGGACTCATTGCAGTTGATGTCATCACACAGCTGTGACCCCCCAGGTTTTCAAGTGCTCCCAGGACTTGGCAGAGAGCTGTCTCTGATGGTGGCAGTGAGTCTGCAGAGGGTAGATGCGGTTCCAGGAGCTGGGCATCTGGGGAAGGTACATGTGCCTAGACCTAACGCCCCAGCCTGCGATGGCATAGCTGACAAACTCCTTGTCTCTGCTTAGATTGTATCTGATTATGGGAAGGATTCAGCCGTCACCTCCATCTTGAAGAAAATGGATATTTTCTTGTTGCCTGTGGCCAATCCTGATGGATATGTATACACGCACACTCAAGTGAGTAATACCAAACAAATGGGCTGCTTGGAGTTAAGACTTGTTTGTTGAATTCCTTGCTTTGCCACTAAATAGTTGTACGACCTTGGAGAAAACTTCCACAAATGTGCATGTTACAGGCTTCCTTGGGGTCTCATTTTCAGTCATCCTCTGAGCTGAGAATCACCAGGGAATATTTTTTCTTAGACAGAACAGACTACTGAACTCCCGATCACAGATCCTGAACAATTATCAACACTTTCCCAATCTTCTTTTCATTTCTTTTCCTCCCACACATTTTTTCCTGACATATTTTAAAGCAAATTCCAGACATCAGGTTATTTCACCCAAACGTCTTTAGTATGCATCTCTAGCTGATGATAATTAAAACAAAGAAACAAGCACCATACCACTCTTACCTTTAAAACAGTAATAGAGGTTCTTTATGTCAATTTGTTGAAATCAGAATCCAAATAATATCTATATCTGCATTTGGTTGTTTATGGCTCCGCAAACTTTTTTATTCTACAATCGTTACCGCCCCCACCACACATACACACACACACACACACACACACACACACACACACACACACATCTTTTAAAAATGTCATTCATTTGTTGGAGAAACCAAGTAAATTGTCCTATAAAATGTCTCACATTCTGAATTCGGCTGATGGCGTCTTTGTTGTGTGCAATTTAATTTGTTCTCTTGTCCCCGTATTTCCTATGCACTGGTGGTCAGACCTAGAGGCTTGGTTGGATTCAGGTTAATTTTTTAGGCAAGAGACTATGATAGTTGTGTACTTCCTATCACATCAGTGATCATTCAGGTGCATAATGTCCATTTGTCCCACATTTACCAAAACCAAAAATTATTTAGTGGGGTCAGGTGGTACTGGCCTGGTTCTTGCATCATGAGGTTCTCCGCAGGGCATTTTGCGAGAGTCCTTCTCTTCGAGCCAGAAGGGCTCAGCCTCTCTGGGGCGAGAGGACGGGAGCCCCAATGATCCTCCAGACGGAACTATAAGCAGCTCTCCCCACCCATGGCACCCATGTCCGTCATTGGCCCCCAAAGAAAACCTTGGCCTCTCTTGTGCCCTGACCCATCTCTGGATGTTTGTTCCCTCCTTGGTGGATTTTTCAGAACCGACTTTGGAGGAAGACACGGTCCCTAAATTCTGGAAGTTCCTGCATTGGTGTTGATCCAAATAGAAATTGGAACGCTAGTTTTGCAGGTAGGTTGGGGAGATAGTTTTTAAATCCTGCTACCCCTGGGTAGCCTGGTCCCTGGGGTTCTGAGCTGGCAGTGAGGGAGCCGTTTCTAGGCTGGCTCCATTGCTGATTCACTGAGAGACTTGGGTGAATCCTGTAAGCCCTCCATGTCTTGTTACTTAAATTTTTTTTTTTTT